CGGGGCACTGGGATTGATCCTCAACACCACATAAAAATAAAATAAAGATATTATGTCCACCCAAAACTAAAATATAAATATTTTAAAAAAAAAGAATCTGTAATAAAACTGCATATCTCCCCCTACCCCTGCATTTTGTACAAACAGTATCGCACAGAACAACAAACGTTATAGCTTTCAAAAAGTCTGCCGCTTCATGTGACTTGTGTCACATCAAGGAAAGGCTACAACAGAGTCTGTTATTCTTGGGGTATTTAGGTGAAGTTGAAGGTCAGAAATAATTTTTTGAAGGACCTTCTCTGTTAACATAGCATTAAGAACTTGGGGGCACATTTATTCACAACCTTTAGCACCAAATGAAGTTTGGTTTTTATAACTTCTTGCCATTGTTTTGTTTTTCCCTTCATTTGAGCTTGATGCTGTATAATCTTCCAGCTTTTATAATCTAAGTGTTACTTTAGTATATGGAAGAGGGATGCTACTGCAAAACTTTTACTTCACTCACCTAATTAAGTAGATTTCTTCAGGTTATATATGATCTTTCATAACATGGCTACAAAACTCTAAATTCATTTTAAGAAAACACAAATAAATATTTAAGTTACCAAGGCCAGGGCTGTAGTTCAGTGGTGCTCTGGTTTGATCCTCAGAACCACATAAAAATAAATAAAATAAAGGCATGATGTCTATACACAACTACAAAATTTTTTAAAAAATATTTAAGTTACCCATCTGTTAAATAATTTTCTTAGTTCAATTAATATATATTTTTCTGACTAACGTTGGTTATAAAATACCATTTTCTTTCTTTTATTTCAAAATTGAGGTATTATGAAAGATTGTGTCAGGCAGAAATCATTCCTTTTTTCCTAAAAAAACAAGCAAAAAATATCTTCAGCTACCTTTTGAAAACTGTCTAGGATTTTTAATAGTTAATGCAAAATTTATTGTATAGATTTTCAGAATCCCAAAAAACTAAACCATGTCTGGGCTGGAAAAAACAATTATTACCAAATAAGCTCGGAAGGTAACTTCAAAAGATGAGAATCTAATAAGTATTTTTAATCAGCAAACACACACACACACACACACAGTTTTGTTTTCCTTTTCTGGAAACAAACTCTAGCTTGAGAACCAGTGATTACAACTAAACACTGGAGAAAATAACAAGCAAGCCATACTCACGATGGCAGAAGGACACTACAGCACATAAACACAGCAACTTAAATCTGTTCTGCAATGTCATATCCAGATTGTCCCCAGAATTCCAAAACACAGGGAAAAGATGGAAGATATATAGTCTCACAATAATTGTTTGTGTGCATATTACTCTCTGCTGCCCAAGAGTGAATGTTAAATGTTCATAGGGCTGGGGATTTAATTTAGTACTAGAGTGATCACAACACTCTGGGTTCCATCACCAGCACCGAAAAAAAAGTTCATGGTAGTACTTGCAGGTCTTAATTCTATTCACACTTCATAGGATAAATCCAAGGAATTAAGTAGGTAGTTTTTCATTCAGACAGCAAGTCTGCCCAGGCTATCTTATTTTGTATAGAAACTTCTTTAGCATTACCATTATACAACTTGTTTTAAAAATGTCTAGGCAGCACAGTGGTCATGCCTGTAATCCCAGTGGTTGGGAGGCTGAAGCCGAGACTCTTAGGTTCAGAACCAGCCTCAGCAACTTAGCCCTAATCAACTTAGCAAGACCCTGTCTTTAAAAAGTGCTGGGGTTGTGGCTGAGAGGTTAAGCCTCTGGGTTCAATCCTTGGTGACAAAACAAAACAAAACAAAAAAGTGTCTAGTTTATTGATCTGACAACTTCTACATTGTTTATTGTCTTAGTATTTGAAAGCTAAGATGAACTGTTTGGTTTTCTGGACAAGGTCTGAAACTTTGTAAAATGGTATAAGCACTAGGATATTGTAAAACTAAGAGCACACGTGTGACTTAGGAATTGCCAAGTTCATTAATGTCTGACACAGAGGCTTTAAATCAGTTAAGTTTGATCACAGACATAATTTCTTTACTATATAAATAAATAGTACAATATAGAATAGAGCATTGCAATAGAGCATTTACCCACCATCCACAAATTTGCTTTAAGAATATCCTGCATCAAGATTTCATATAAGTTGTAGTATAGGACATTCTGTTATGGGCTCTTTTTTTCTATTCAGAACCATTCTATTGATAGAGACTTGCCTTCCTGCAGTCAACTACCAGTTCTTTGAATTAAAAAAACCACTCTTTTAAAAAATCCAGTATTTATAATGTATATAAATTCTTAATTTGTGCTTTGTGGGAAGGTTTTTTCCCTAAACATTAGATATAAAATATATTGCATGCAGCAACTTAAGTAAACATGCAGTCAGAAATAATGACCTTCCATTGAATCTTTCTGAAGTCTCTTATAATCTTCTTTTGGCAGTTGACTCTATTCTTAAATTACAAAAGTGTGTTGGGTTTTTATTTTTAATTGGTACCTTATTTTGAATTAGTATTACCATTTTGATTACAGCAAAAGCTATGATGGCATAAATTTACATAACTCTAAAAGATCCAACCAAAATCCTCAGCAAAAGAAAAAATCAAACATGAAAGAAGAATAAAGATTCAGCTCATGTGGTATCCTTACAAGTCAAAATAGAGAGCAACTAAAGGCTTATTTTCATTAAATGTTATCCTTATTCCAAATGACAACAACTAATGACTGCTAAATTGTGATGTTTTTGCTACATCTACCACATGCTCCTGAGTATTATCTTTGATAAGTCTTATCCCAGGGGCAACTCTATTAATAAAGTTTCTGAAAATAAACATATACTGCAAACAAAACAACAACACAATAACAAACAAAAGAATCACATTTGTTAGCTGGATGACTTCAGAGGAGAATGGCAGTCATGATGACAAATAATGTGTAAGAAATTAAGATACCAAGCAGACAAAGGTATGAATTAATGTGCAAATCAGTGCCAATATCTAGTCTGCAGTTTTGCTTATATTGGATGCTGATAGTAATAGGACTGCAAATTATAACAAAAATAATTAAAAGATCCATTTTTTTCTTTAAAAATCAAGAACAAATGCATAGATTTCCACAACACTGTAAGTTTTGGGGCAGTGTCCTTTTTTCTCACCCCTGGTTATATACTCTCGTACTTATGGCTGGGTCAGACTTGGGCTCAGTTCCATTGGATCAGGACATAATGTAATAAGGGTGGTCACCTCTCTTCCCATGGTTTATAACGGAAGTTCTGCCTAGGCCAGAAATGTATGCTTTTCCAGCAGTATTCACAGTCATGATGCAGACAGGTGATGTTGGTCCAGAAGAACTGGGCAAACTCTGAACCGCAGAGAAATATTATATAAATGTGGGTATCCTTCATGTGTTGTTGAAGGTAATATATGTGCATGTACAGGAGAATCCACATATCATAAGTGTACAACTTGGTAAATTTTCACAAACTGAATAATACAGCAGTGTAATCAAAACCTAGCTAACATACCAGATGCTTCCCTTGTATACCTTCCACTTACTACCTACTACCCACGGGGACGCCTCTTCTGACTTCTAATGAAATTAACGTGTTTTGCTAAATATTCTATATGTATAAGCTAAATCATACAGTATATATGTTTATTTCTCTTTTGTTCAAAATTTTATAAGATTTGTTAATATACATTAGTTTGTTGATTTTCAATTCTACATAAAATTCCATCTAGCCTATTGTTGGTGGAAATTTGGGTGTTTTTCAGTTTGGGGTTGTTATGAAATGATGCCATAAATATTCTCTTAATGTATTTTGATGTCAATGTGCATGAATTTTGAAGGACATCTCAAGATTTTTTACCCATAGTCAGTGAAGTCCAAAGTGTTCTTTGGCATTGTAGCCAAGATATTCAGCTTGAATACCTTACTCAAATGGGAGCTGTACAATTCACAATAGCTAAACTATGGAACCAATCTAGGTCCCCTTCAGCAGATGAATGGATAAAGAAGTTGTGATACATATAATATGCACACAAAGTAGAAAATTGTTCAGCCATTAGAGAAAAAATTATGGCATTTGCCAGTAAATGGATGGAACTGGAGAATTAACATGCAAAGTGAAATAAGCCAATCCCCCAAAACCAAGGCTGAATGTTTTCTCTGATATGCGGATGCTATCTCACAATAAGGGTAGGGAAGAATAGAAATACTTTGAATTAGACAAAGTGGAATGATGGGAAGGGAGGAGGAATAGGAATAGGAAAGATAGTAGAATGAATTGGACATTAATGTCCTATGTGCATATGTGATTACATGATCAGTGTAATTCCACATCATGTACAACCAGAAGAATGAGAAGTTATACTCCAAATATGAATAATATGTCAAAATACATTCTATTGTCATGAATAACTAATGAGAACAAATTTTTAAAAATGGGAACTATAGTCACAGGCATTATCAAATCTTTCCTATTCTTACTGGACTTTGTTTATACTTAGGATTCCTAACATGTTATATTTAGGTTATTCATGTACATGCACGTCTGCTATTAGATTGTGAATACTTTTCAGTTTGTTTCACATGCTTATGTATCCCTGCTCCTGGCACAGTATCTGAAATATAGTAAGCCAACCAAGTGAATGGTGATAGCCATCACTCTGCCAGTGATTAACAAAGCAAGTCCTCATAGTTATGTGAATCATCTAGCTAGAATAAAATCCATGCTTTAGTCTAACATCTTAATGTCAAAGGGTTAGGAATGGGAAGTTGTTTCTTTCTGAAAGAAGCCCAGAACTTTGAACTCAGAACTGAGCATTCTGTGGTTACAGGGAATTGCTGTGGCTTTACAAGCCTCTTGGAGATTTAAAGTGTTAACATTGGTGATTCCAAGGCACTGTGTGGGAGCCAGATATAAATAGCTGAACACAAGTGGGGTAATATGCCACTGCCAAGCTACTGCTGGGGGTGTTTATAAAAAGAAAAGCATTCCCTTCTGAACTCTCACTGTCAACAACATCCCATTCTGAAGACACACTCATCACAGCTGAGAGCAGGGAGTCAGTTTGAGATCTAGAAACATTTGAATCTCCTTCAAAGGCACAAAATCCAGGTAAACATTTTGACTTTATTTACACTCAGATTATAGAGGTGAAGAATTGCAAGGAAAAGTCTGATCTAGAGCTTGCTTGATACATACTGCCTGTGACAGGTACCTACCTATCTAATGTTATATTCCAGATTTTTTTGAAAGGTAAGTTTAACACAGAAGTGACATTTTGTACTATATTTTAACATCTTTAATTAAAGAAACTGCTTCTGAAGAATGATGGGAACCTAGGGCCAAAATGAGCTATAAAAAGGAAGACTATCCTCCTTAATCTGTTATTTATTCCCATTTTCAAAATCTAGAATATGGTAATTGGTAAGATAAAATAGAGGTTTCATTTCAGTGTCAGTAATGTTGATTCTAACTTCAAAGCCCACATTCTCCAGCCTGTTGCCTCTGAGAATCCTCCAGATCTTTTTCTGTCCACTAATATTTCTTCCCTTTTCTGGAAACACTTGATATAACATTGCCTGAGGCTTCTGTGTGGAAATAAGAGAAGGTAAGATAGGTAAATGAATTTATTACAAGTAGGGTTTTTTTTTTTTTTTTTTTTTTTTTGGTATGTGGAAGGAACCAAGACTGACCTGCTGTATCCTTTAATTGAATTGCTTAATGGCTCTAGGATGGCTTTAGCTCTTGAGGACCTCTCATCTTCCTGTTTACCCCTTTCAGTATCACAAATACTGGAATGAATATTGGGCATTCAGCCAGTAGAGTTATATAATCTTTTAGAATTGCTGCTTACCCAGTTCTTTCTTACTCTCATCCCCGCCTTCAGAAAGTGGATGAGACACTTGTTTTTCCTTAGGCTTTTCTTATCATGAATATATGGAGAAGGCGATCACCTCTGATAATCTGCTTTGTACCACTACTTATCTCCTCTGTCTACCTTCTTTGAGGTAGAAGAAGAATGGAAGATGTGTATGAATGTGTTCTTGGAGAATTCTTAGAAACTGAGGCCTAAGGTACCCATTGGAGACTGTGGTATTTTAGTTTGTATTATTTCCTGTACATACTGAGATTTAGAGGGACAAGTTTGTCTATCAGCAACTATGGTAGGAGAGAGGACATGTTGGAGGGATAAAGAAACGGACAGATTTAAACTTGAGCACTGAAATTCTCTTGAGTTTTTATTTCCTCGTCTCTAAAATGAAGGTGTTAGAAAAGTAGATGAAACTTAATGGTTCTTGCAGTCATTAGGAATTTATTGATAACCACTTCCTGACCATCATGATATCCACTCCTATCCAGGATGAAAATATAGTGTCATCCTGCTTTATTCCCCTAAACTCCTGTAATTTCTTTTTAATTTAGAAGAGAAAAATGAAGACAGGACATTTTGAAATGGTCACCATGCTTCTGGCAGCCATGATTCTAATGGACATCTTCCAGGTAATGTTGGGAATGGGAAGTATGGGGTCACTGGAATGGAAACACTTGATATAACATTGCCTGAGGCATCTGTGTGGAAATAAGAGAAGGTAAGATAGGTAAATGAATTTATTACAAGTAGGTTTTTTTTTTTTTGGTCATTTTGCCGATATGATTTATGTTAACTGTGGGAAGTTGAAAAAATTAAGCAAAAAGAGGAGAATAAAAATCATCCATTATCTCTCCACTCAGAGGCAAAGACTCCTTAAGGTCTTGGTACATATCATCCTTTGGCATTTCTTTGTGTATATGTGTGTGTGTAATTTACAGAACATAGATTGACACTATACATAGTATTATTTTTAACCTTGCTTTTAAGTTAATACTGCGATACATGTCTTTCCATGTCAAAAAATATTCTGAAAATATCATGTTTTTTTCCCAAAATAAGGTAATGCTATATTGTTTGTTTACATGTGTTTTTTTATTGTTGTGTAGTTTATTATGAAAAGCTTCTTCTAGTGTGTACATATGAACCAAAAATATCAGTTTACCTTTCCATTCATACCCCACTTCCAAAGACACATCAACAATATCAGTGTTCCTTCATGGCACCTAGAAAAACTTGTCTTTCTCCCAAGACAAATGGCTATTTGCAAGACTGCTAAGGTAAGAAAATCCATCTATCTATCTATCTATATATATATCTTGTATTTATATATTTTGAGGCAGGGCAATAAAGCCTTTTCAACACAGCAGTCTATTCATTTAAAGTCATCTGACCAAATACTTTCTCCCATGGCTAAGAATCTCATTTGATCCCCATTTTACAGATGAGGGTACTGAGATACCAAAATCAAAAAGCTAGGGCTAAGTAGTATCCAGGTCAGTGTTACTACACCAGTGGCACACATCAGAATTATTGGGAATTTTAAAATCTACACAGATGGGGCCATGTTCTGAGTCAGAAGGTCTAGGGTATAGTCCAGGCATTGCTTTAAAGAGGAACTCTGATGACTCAGTTGTGTGACCTCAGTTGCAAAGGATGTCATGTTCCAGGATAGCACTGACAAGAAAGAGATTACATTATTCTTACTCCCAACCATTAACATTTACATATAACCAGATACATATTTCACTTTTATTTATAATCAAAAGGCTACTACACTTTCAGCTGCCTAATTCCCACTTTAATACTTCATGCTGGATGCAGACAAACTAAGATAACACTTTTTCTCCTCTATATATTACATGGTTTTTTAAATCAAATTATATAATTACTCTTTTCTCATATGAACATTTTTTCTCTGATAGAAATTGTATTTATTTGCAGTTAAATCTTTAAGATTGTATAATATATTTTCATTTAAAATATCAGACATATCTCATTTGATTCCCCCAGATGTCAGCCACCACATCATCACTGTTTATACACTGATTTTGAATGCCTTCTTTAAAATGTCTTAAATTATTAAAATTCTATTTTCTAGTTTAATATTTTGATACATTATCTAGAGAATCATTGTATATTCTATTGTCTGCACATTCTCTTGTGTGTTTTTAAAATTGAGCTAGGTAGGTGTGGTGGCACAGGCCTGTTATCCCAAAGACTTGGGAGGAGGCTGAGGCAAGAGGACCACGAATTCATGGCCTATCTTGGCAACTTAGCAAGACCTCGTCTCAAAATGAAAAAATAAAAACAGTTGGGGATGTAGCTCTCTAGTCATGGTAGAGTGCTCCTGGGGGGTTCAATCCCCAGTATAGCCAAAGAAAATAAAAATAGAGCAATAATTTACATACCTGAAAAATTCACCATTTAAAAGTGAACATTTCACTGATTTTTAGTATATTCACTATGTTGTGCAACCATCACTACCATCTAACTTCATAAATTTCACCCTAAAAAAACCTGTGAGTAGGCAGCTCTAATTCCTGCCTTCCCCCATTGCCTGGCAACCAGTAATCTACTTTGCATCTGTGGATTCACCTATTCTGGACATTAATCTTAAAAACAATGGTCTTTTGTGTCTTGTTTTTTTAACTTAACAATGTTTTCAAGGCCTATTCAGGTAGTAGCCCACATTAGTTCCTCATTCTTTTTGTTGCTGAATAATATATCTTTTGTATGGCTATAACACATTTTGTTTATCCATTCATCAGTTGATGGAAATTTGAGTTGTTCCTGTTTTTCTTTTTGTTTTGTTTTGGTTTGGGTACTGGGATTGAACTCAGGGGTACTTGGCTACTAAGCCACATCCCTGGTCCTGTTTTGAATTTTGTTTATAGACAGGGTCTCACTGAGTTGCTTAGTGCCTCGCCATTGCTGAGGCTGCCTTTGAACTTGGATTCTCCTCTCTCAGCCTCTCAAGCTGCTGAGGAGTTGCTCCTGTTTTACAGCTATTGTATTATGTTCATGTTCCCATGAACATTTGTATACATGTTTTTGTGTGAACATAAGTTTTCCTTCTTTTCTCTTTAAACAATTATATAATCACAATCATTTTGATATATTTGGAGAATAATACAAACACTATGTGGTAGCATTACCTAGTAATGTTTACTTACATACATACAGGAAATATGTATGTAAGTGGTATATCAGGGGCTACACTATTTGCTACATGCTAACAAAATTGTGAACATGTTTCAGTTCTCTTTGGTATATACCCAGAGTGGAATTGCTGGATCACCTGAGCACCTCTGTGTTTAACTTTTTGAGGTACTACTAAGCCATTTTCCATAGTGATTATACCATGTTCTAATCCTACCACAATGTATTATGATTTTGATTTTTCTGTGTCTTTGTGTTACTTGTTATTTTCCTTTTGTTTTTGTTTTATCAAGATAGCAATGGGTGTGGTATCTTGTGGTTTTAGTTTGTACTTTAGTTTTCTCTTGCAACATAATTGTAATGCTTTTGTTAATGTTTTATTAATGTTCTGTAATTTGTTTAACCAGTTTCTCTTCTTGAGCATTTATGTAGATCATTTCCACATATTTGTATTACATTTTTCAGTAATTGAATTTCATCAGTATGAGCTTTTGTTTCAGTGGCTAAATCAGAAAAAAAATATATAATCACCTTGTTCACCTAGTCTTTTGTACCTGTTTCTTAGTATCCATTCAGTTGTCCCTGAGTACTAGTGGCATTTGTGAACTTTATCACTGCTCAAGGCACGCACTGTACAGAACACACAATCAGCTGTGGTGTCTAGCCAGAAAGGCTTAACATCTAAAATTAGACATGTGGAGACTGGTTAGAGGCAAAGGGAAAAGACAGGAACATATCGGATCAACTCTGATATGAGGTGAGGAATGTGGGAGGTGATTTCAGAGTCTGATGTCTTATATTGAAGTCTTGCAGATAAATCAGGCATTGGTGCCCAAACTGCACTCTGGTACATTCTGTGCTGCAGAGGAAAGTGCATTTCTTGACTATGAGACAGCAGTGATTTGATCTCCTGAAGCTCAAATTCCCATGTCAAGACACTGACCTACAAACCCAGGAGTGTAGGGGTCTCAGTGATTTCTTCAGGAGGATACTCTGTGGCTAATAATCAAGACAGTTTCTTATTCTGGTTTAGTTACCTCATTTTTAAAATAATAATAACATAATTACTATATCAATAAATATTAATATACAAAATATTAATATTAATTAATAATCATCTGTCCCAACTTTCATAAAACAAAATTATAGTCTAAAAGTGCTACATAAATGTCAGTTGTCTTCATCATTTGAAACATTTTTAATCTTGAGAGGCAACAGAACATTTTGACTAAGAGGACAAGACTCTGGAGCAGGCTGCTTGTATTCAAATCCCAATGTAAGTCTCAATCTCTCTGTATATTGGTTTCCTCAAAGTCTTTTTAAAAAAGGTTTCTAATGATCATACCTTCCTCGAGGATTAAATGACATAGTTCATATGAAGCACTTAGTGCCTGGCATGTGGAAAGAACTCTGAAAATATTTGTTAGGCCTTAGAGATGATGTAGACACAGAGGGTGACTTAAGAAAGAGTTACCTAGGAAAGCCTCACAAATTAAGAACCAGGTTGTTATCAGTAGTAATTATAGTCAATTAATTTAAAAGTTTGGCTTTAGACATGTTCTTTGGACATTCAAGTGGAGGTATTAAGTAGTCAGTTGGTGTGTAAATCTGGCATTTACAGGACATGTCAGAGTATTTAGATGATAATTGAAACTATGAGAGTGTATATAATTGCCAAGGGGGTAGAATTGAGAATTAGAATATAAATAACCTAAGAAACCCCAACATTTGGGCTGAGATTGTGGCTCAGTGGTGGAGCACTTGCCTAGCATGTGTGAGGCACTGGGTTTGATCCTCAGCACCACATAAAAATAAAAAAAAATTAAAAAAAAGGAATTGTGTCCATCTACAACTAAAAGATATTTTTTAAAAAAGAAACCCCAACATTTAGTGACCAGGTAGAATAAAAAGAAATATCCCCTCAGAGCTGAATGGGTGGAGGAATGTTGGTTGGAAAAGTTGAGATGTAGAGGGAAATGAACTAGAGATGGCAAGGACAGATATTTCTGTCAAGAAGTTTGTGAGGGAGAAAAGAGATAGTAGGATCAAGTTTTGGGTTAGACTTTTTTAAAAAATTTCTCTCTCTCTCTCTCACACACACACACACACACACACACACACACACTGTTATGATTTGTTCACATGAAGCTTCTAACTTAACAGCTCGTCACTATATTCTATTCTCTATAAAGTCTCCAACTGAAATCCTTAAGCAGATGTAGGTCGCCATGTACCATACAACTGTGGAGTTGTAGAAAAAGAAACTGTAGAAACCCATAAATAGTATTCCTGGGCAGACTTTCTCATCTTACTTTTGATCCATAAGTCAGTGTATAGGGTTCTTATTTAGTTCACCTAAATATTTAGCCAGGTTTTATACTGAGTGGTTGGGAATTAAAGATAAATCCAATACAGATTCTGCTCTTGAGAAACTTGCAGTATAATGCATGATTCCTATCCTGAAATAATAATAATCAATAATTATATTTGGTTGAAAGCTTGATATGTGAGCTAAGGGCTTTATCCTTTTTTAATGAAAAATTGAACTCAGAAATGTCAAGTTACTTTCCCATATGTAGTTAGTACCTGGTTAGTAATGGAAATTAAATTTGAACTCAGAGCTGACTGGCTTTAAATTAATGTTATATCACCCTGCTGCTTACAGTATGTGAGCATATGTGTCGTTTAGATGATGCACTAGGCCTTTTCCAATGTATGCTACAGAAATATAGTTCAAAATAGCTCAAGAAATAAGAGACTTTATTAACTTTTATGACTGGTATAAAGCATGGTCTTCTGATTCAGTTAGATTAAGGGCCTCAAATATGTTTTATGAGCCTTATCTTTCTCTTTCCCTCTCAGTTCTTTAAGTCTTTATTACTTTACTTTCAGAAATGATTCTTTATTAAACTAAAAGGATAATTATTAGAAATTATTAGAAATCCCCAACCAATATTATCTTTAGGGCCTATGATTTTAGAGGAAGAAAGATCTGTTTCTTCCTTTGGGAATTTTCTGTTTGCTAGGCCTTGATCACTTGCTTATATTTTGGGCTGGAAGTGCAAAATCAGTCCTGTCTATGCCATATGGACAAGAGACAGGGTATGCCCAAAGAAAAGGAGTTAATATTTGCCATTATACTTACCTATCATGTACAGTATTTTGCATGTGATATTTTAGACTCTCTCAACAATCTTGTTTGAGGAAATGTAGCTAAGGATTTTGTTCCAAGCCAGGACTACCCCCCTCCCCCAAGTTCTTCAGTTTCCTCTGCATCACAGTATGCAGGTAAATGAGTTACAGGCTTAGTCCATTTATATTTATTCTTTCATATAGCTCTCATCTATTTATATGTATTCTTTTACATAAATATGTCATAATTAAAGCCTAGCATAATGGCACACTCCTGTCATCTCAGCAATTAGGGAGCCTAAGGCAGGTTCAAAGCCAACCTGGACCATACAGCAAGACTCCATTTCAAAATAGTAAAAAGGAGTGGGGATTCAGTTTAGTAGTTGAGCACCCATGGGTTCAATCCCCAGGGAAAAAAGTTATAACTGGGAAAGAAAACATCAATAGCAATGGAATATGCTTTATGCATAAAAATCATATCCACAGTTGGTTGTAAGCAAGGAGAGAATCTTGTCATGGTATGAGAGGCCGGGTATAGTAATGTAAGACAAAGTGATAAATAAATATCTAAATATCTCATTTCAAGAGTATTAATTTCCTTTTCCTTTGAAGGTGAAGGCTGAAATGTTGGACATGGCTGATAATACATTTGATGATGAATACCTGAAATGTATTGATAGGATGGAAACGAAATATGTTCCTCAACTGCTCACAGAGGAAAAATCAACCCATCAGCTCTTACAGACTGTGTGGGAAAATGCAAAAGCCAAATGGGAAGCCCAGAAAGCTCAGCTCTTTCTTCCTTTGAATTTTAAGGATAACCATGGAATAGCCCTGACAGCGTATGTTTCTGAATATCAACAGCAAACTCCTTTTTACCATCTCTTCAATGAAGCTGTGAAGATGGCCGGGAAATCTCGAAAAGCTTATATCTATGACTTCCAGTTCAAAGCTTTTCATTTTTACCTGACAAGAGCCCTGCAGTTGCTGAGAAGACCTTGTGAGGAAAGTTACAAAAATGTGGTGTATAGAATAAGCCAGGACACTTCATTTACATTTGGAGAGCTAAACCAAGCCAGGCTTAGCAATTTCACAATGGCATACTCAGCCAAACCTCAAACAGTTGATGAGCAACAAATTGTGTTAACCATCCACACATGCTTTGGAATTGCTGTTGAAAAGTTTTTTGATAAAGAAAATGAAAAAATTACTTTAATACCTCTGAGTGAGGTTTTCCAGGTTTCACGGGAAGGGGATAGCAATAATCTTATCCTTCAAAGCACAAACAAGACCTGCAGCCATTATGAGTGTGCGTTTCTAGGTGGTAAGTGTCTCTCTTAACTCTGCTTGTCTGGGAGGAATGGAGTGGGATTCTTAGGCCCAGGGAGAGAAGTGTTAAAAAGGAGAAATGACATTGGCAGTTTCCAGTCTAGCTTGTTTTATACTGTTTCTTTATCCATACTTTAATTTTATCAAAATAATACATTTACAGTATTATTAAAAGTTAAAAAACAGAATAGTATAATAAGAGTAACTATCAGCCAGAGCAGCTCTGCTCTGCAGGGTCATTTAACAGTGGTCAGAATATTTTTGATTGTCACAACTGAGGAAGATGTGAGGGACTAATACTGGCACCTGACGGATAGAGGTCAGGGACACTGAAATAATGCAAGGACAGCCCCCCACAACAGAGAATTAACTGACCTAAAATATAGGGTAGTGCTATTGTCAGGAACCCCTAGTGTACCATTAAACCTACTTTACAATGAAAAATAGCAATCCCCGCCCTATCTATCCACTTACTCATCAGTGGCATTTATTTTTAATATTGTAGCTATTTTTTCAGGTACTTATTGTCATGTATCTAAAGAAATAGCATGCTTCAACATGTTATTTCTTCATTTAAAAAATTTTAGACACTATTAAATTCTTGCTAAAAAGCATGAGCTATGTACAATGTTTTAGTTAAGAATTCTTTATTGCTTTTAGCTCCAACAGAAAACCTGGCTGATAGTATTTGTTTAATAAGTCTCAGGGCAGCCTGTCTAGTGCAGTGGCTCATCTACATCATCAGTTACTCAGGCCCTTTCTGTCTGTCTGTTCACCATCCTTGGTGAATGGATTCGTGTTTGCAGTGTAACTGTTGCAGCTGTATGCGTTGATCTATGTCCAAGACAGAAAGGGAAGGGGGTTAACAGCCAAATCTACCTATTTAATTAGGAAAGTAAAAACTTTTCCAGAAACCTTAGTAGATTTCTGATTACAGATGATTTACTAGAACTATTTTTTCAATCATAGCTGGAAAACATGCTTGGAAATGGAAAAATTAGCTTTACTGGCTTCTGTAGTGTAGGGAGACAAGAAAGAAGGGAATTAGAAATGGCTGTTATGTCATTAAACCCAAAGCATTTGATAACTACCACCCTCCTCTCCACCATGTGTGCATTTTGCTATTCTTGTTCTCTCCGTGTAGCAAAGACCAGTCGTAGCTGAATCAGAGTTGTTTCTTCAGTGCTTAAGGGTTATTTTATGATTTTTGTTTGTTTAGGGTTTTTTTCCCCACTTGTTTAGTTTTTTTATATCCCATCACTAATTCATCTCCAAATTATTTGACAGAAATAGAAATCTCTTAATACAGTCAGATAATCTGTCATTTTTATTCTTCCTCCTCTTCCTCCTCCTTATGTTTGTCTTCCTCCTCCTTGCCCTCCTCTTCTTCCTCCTCCTTGTTCTTCTGCTTCTTGTCCTCCCCTTCTTCTCTTCCTTCTTCTCCTCTGCCTTCTCCTCCCCTTCTCTTCCTCTTTGTCCTCCTCCTCCTTTCCCCATCTTCTGCTTTTCCTTCTCTTCTTCCCCTTCCTTCTCTTTTCCTCCACCTCCTTCCCTTCTCTCTCCTCCTCTTCCTACTCCTCTTCTTCCTCTTCTCTTCTTCCTGCATTTCCCCAACATCCTGCTCTATAATATGCTCTTTAGGTTTGCTGAATGTCCTGGAACCTTTCCTATGAGAGACTCCTTATTTCTTGCATTTGCAGCTCTTCCTTGAATCACTTCTTTGTTTAGTGGTGTGGGACTGGGGATTCTCCAGTTTTCTAATAAATTATACACCGAGGCAAATTTTCTAAGACTGTGTGTCTGAAAGATCTACTTTTTTGCTTGAGTAGTAGTTTTTATAAATTTGTATTTCTGTTTTAGAGATTATTTTCCTTGGAAACTTGAAGATGTTCCTCCAATGATATCTAAATCTGTAACTTCTGTAAAAAAAAAAAGTTGAAAGCTACTCTACTAAAACTTTGGATGAGTCTGTTTTTTTAAAATATCTTTATCTATTTATTTTTATGTGGTGCTGAGGATCAAACCTAGTGTCTCACACACTGAGCTATAGCCCTAGCCCCTGTTTTGATTTTTTTATGGTGCTGAATACAAACAAGAGCATCATACATACTAATCAAACACTCACTTACTGGGCTGTAAAACCCCTTCCTGAAACCTATTTTTTTAATCTGAAAGGTTTAATGTGTTTTCTTTATTCCTAAAATTCTGAAACTTTATGGTATTGTGCCTTGATGTATATGATTTAAAGGGTCAATAAAAACCCTTTCTTCTGTGAAAGTGGCCTCCTGTTGATCTTCATGTGAGCTGGGAGGATTGTGAATGAACTATAAATACCCACAGGGAGGCCACTGTTTGGGGCCTTCCTGAATGTGGTGCAGCACACCCACGTGTTCTCCTTGTTGAATGCCAGAAGGCAAACAGGACCTGTATCAATCCTGTACAAGATTGGCATGTTCAAGGATACTGTCTTCTTATGTGGTATGAGGTTACTAAACTAAAGAGGTTCCTGCACTTCCCTGTGTAATCTTTCCTTGTGACTAACTGTAATCTTGGGGGATTAAAGAATATTCCTGGACTATGAAGACTTGCACTGAAGGGCCATACTTAATGCTCACCTGCTGCTAAATAGCATATGTTCCTTGCCTTGCATTTCTTTTTTTCTGCAAAACTCAGTAAACTGGTGAGGATTAGGCCTTTCGGGGTCTTGTAAGTGTGACTCTCTAGCTGAACCAAAAACTATTGCTGCTGTGTCAAGCATTGTGATTGAGTACTACATAGGTCTTAGAAGTGGGTTAGACCTTTAGATCTTGCCTCATTGTGCCCAAGGTACTGTAAATTAAAAAGGCTGGGTAGGGTGAGACATGCCTGAGTTAGGAGCTGATAGGATTGGATGGCAGAAGGTTTGTGGCTCTTGAGGTACCAAGGTTGCAAAATTGAAGGAAGTTTTCACTTTTAGGGCCATATACTTAAACTACTTCCATTTGCATGATTCTGAAAGGGAGTGCCTCCTTAAATTTTATACTCTAGGCCCCTCATTTGTCTTATTCTATTCCTGTATTTGAGTTGCATCTGAATAAGACTATTTTTCTTGAGGGGATAGATGAAGGATGCCGTGAGTAAATTTGTGTTGAAAGAAAGTGTTCATTCTCATCAACAACTATACATTGGACCTGACCAAAAACCAAGCTAACTATAATCAACTGAGAATTAATCAAAGCAAATTAAAGGCATATATCTTCTTCCCAGTTCCTCTTATATCACAGGAGTTTAAAATTGACCATGGTTTGGTTATATATTTCTACCCCCTTTATCCATGGGAGATATGTTTCAAGGCCCCCAGAGAATGCCTGAAACTGCAGAAAATAACAAACCCTATATTTTCCTATACATATATACTTGTGATAAAGTTTCATTTATAAATTATGCACAGCAAGAGAGCAACAGTAACAACTAATAAAATAGAATAATTATAACAGTATACTGTATAGAAGCTATGACTGCTGTCTCTTTTTTGAAAGAATTAAGGCAGATTTTTCTGCAGTTGACCAGTGATAACTGAAAGTGAAATCACTGAGAAGTGGAAACTGCTTTACAATGAAAATTAACAGTCACGAATATACATATAGCAATTGTGTCTATTTTATTCTGCTGTCCTTCCTATCTCCCCTTTCCCTCCCCTCCCCTCACTTCTCTCTACCCAATCTAATGTGACACACTTCTTTTTTTCCCCCTCACATCATCATACATGTAATCTGTATAACAATGAGGATTTCCTCCATCTTCCATGCAATTCCCCTTTTCCCCTTTCCCTCCCACCTCTCTTCCCTATCTAGAGGTAATTTTCTTCTCATGCTCTTCCTCTCTACCCCATTTGAATCGTTTGGCATTTTTGGGGGGGGGATTGGCTAACTTCATTTAGCATAATCTGCTCTAATGCCATCTATTTCCCTGCAAATGCCATGATCTTGTTATTTTTTAGTGCTGAGTAATATTCCATTGTGTATAAATGCCACATTTTTTTTTTATCCATTCATCCATTGAAGGACATCTAGATTGGCTCCACAATCTAGCTATTGGGAATTGTGCTGCTATAAGCATTGATGTGGCTGTGTCCCTGTAGTATGCCATCTGAGAAGAGGAATAGCTGGGTCAAATGGTGGTTCCATTCCCAGTTTTCCAAGGAATCTCCATACTGCTTTCCAAATTGGCTGCACCAATTTGCAGTCCCACCAGCAATGTATGAGTGTACCTTTTTCCCCCGCATCCTTGCCAGCACTTGTTGTTGTTTGACTTCATAATGGCTGCCATTCTTACTGCAGTAAGATGGTACCTTAGAGTAGTTTTAATTTGCATTTCTCTGATTGCTAGATTCAAATGTATAATATGTCAAGATCACAGTACTGACATGTGTAACTAATTAAAACAAATAATAATTTTTAAAAACACAGTTTTAATAAAACTCTAAAACTCTTAAAAAAAAAAAAAGGAAAATTAACGAGTACTACACCACCAAGTGTGTTAAACTTTACCAGCATATCGCAGCTAGAAACATAGTTGAAGTATTTTTGGTGTTCTTTTTAAATTTGTTCTAATTAGTTATACATGACAGTAGAATGCATTTTGACACATTGTACACAACTGAAGTACTTCTACTTTTGGTGTTCTCGTGCACTTAGACAAATGTTATTTGTGGGTCCCTGGCTACAAGCCAGATTTTGTACTAATACCTAGTTGTTGGGTTATGTTGGGCAATGACTCCATGTTTGTGATGGGAATTGTGATATAGTAAAAGAGGTAGAGCTAACTGGTTTGATTCTGAATGAGCCAGGGCTTAAGACCTACATGGAAAAATGCATTATGAGTCCTGTGTGAAGATGTGGGGAGGGGAACAAGGATTAGGCAGAAGATGCACAGCAAATTAATATTCAGACTAGCCACAAAAGGAGGCCTTTGTGGATACTTCTATGTATCATGTGTTTGGGGAGCTCTAAGCCA